TTATTGCCTACTCCTTTCTACTTTGAGAATTCTAATTATATGAATATAAGTTTCTTGGTTTTGACACAGTGAACTATTATGACTGATCTGTAAATTCTTTCATTTTTATTTCGGACAGTTTTTATTGTTTATTCATTTATGTTTGTAAATAATTTATTTTCAATTTGCAATCTATTAAAAAATAAAAAAAATTTAAATATATTTACTTTATTAGTACATGTTTGTTGTATATAACGTGTACATTCCTTCTCGGTAGTTGGTGCATGTATATAATATATCCTAGTTCCTTCTCACCGCCTTTCCCTTCCTTCCTGCCCCTGTCCATCCATTTCTTGATCCCCATCCTTTTTTCTGTGTCATGTTTGCAGTACATAATGCTTACATGCTTTGTGTGGAATTGGTACATATACACATCACATCTTAGTTCTTTTTTCATCCCCTTTCCTTTCTCTCCCTCCCATAATGTTACATGAAATAAACCAGACCCACAAGGTAGCTGCCATCTCATTTGATATCTGTTGATTATCTATTCCCATGAAAGTTGACATTTTCCTGGGTCTTTTAATTCTTAGTGAGACTACAAGATGTATGATGGACATTATCTGTTATTCATGATGAACAGTTTTTTGACACAATGTAACAGACATCTGTTGATGTAATGAAAATATTTTTTCTAGTTTGGTTTTTGTTTTCAGTATTGGTAATACTGCCTGAGTATTTTTTTTTGTCTTATGTAATTCTTTTGTGTATTCCATTTGCCTTCCATATTAATCTGGAGATATAATAGTTTTAGCCACATTCATTTTTTCCCATTTAGTTTTGAATAATAGTCTAATTCCTATTTTCTTATCATTTGTAGAAAAAGATTTCATATTAATTCCTCCTAAGGAAAAAAATTAGTGTACCTATATTACCTTTGCTACTTCTGGTTCTTTTTAACATTTTCCAATTATTTTTATTGGCTTTTAAAAAATATTTACCAGTGCATTCAGTATTTCACTGCCAATCATTGTTTACCCCAACTTTTCCCATTTAAAAGTTTACTTTTTATTTAAGTTAAATATTTAATTGTTCATGAGTGCCTGGGGAGTACTGCAATCACTGAATCACAGACAGCCGTGCTTTATGCTTTAGTCACTTTTTTTACTGCTTAGACAAAACACCTACCACCTATAATTTAATGGAGGAGAGGTTTATTTTCTTTCTATGATCAGCTGGCTCCAAGGCACGATAAAGGAAAACCTACTTACCTCATAGCAAACAGAAAACAGAGAGTAAAGGAGTATCTGGGAAGTGATGTAACCCAGTGACTGGCTTCTTCTGGCCAGCTCCTACCTCCTAACTGTAAGGCACCTATTATGTCCTTATAATCCATTCACCTCTCAAGTCTCAATATGATATCACATGAGGCTTTAGTGGGACCCATAGAGACATAAACTATAACACACTATTTAAGGACACTTTGATCAATGGAATTGCATATTGATAGTGGTTGCATAACTGCATTCTCTAGTAATGTAGCCATCACAGTTTGTGTAAATACACTCTATGTTGTTTGTACAGGGACAGTTTCAGGTAGTGACACAATTTTTGACATGTATCCCCATCATTAGATAAGAGTAGTCCAGTATCATTTGGGGTTATTTAGAAGGTTGAGACAGGAAAATCATGAATTCAAGGCCATCTTGGGCAAAAATAATGAGCTCTGGTCTCAAAAAAAAATGTTGTTCTCCATATGTGTATAGAGTGATGACAATGTTGAATTCTTGAGTCACACAGGCTTGCTTTCCTCAGTCCTTTACAGAGATGGCTCCATTGTCTTTCACATCATATTTTCCTCAGCAGATGTCTTAGGCCAGGTTTTTAAAATGTGTAGATAATGTGTCTTTTTTGTTAAGCATCAATTCTTCAGAACTTAACTTTGAAATTAGGTCTCTACAGTCCATAACAGTATATTGAATCTATTGACTTTGTTTTAAAAGGATGTTCAAACTTAAAATTGTTAATATTTCTCAAAATAGCAAATGATTTGTTCTTTCTCATGTGATTTTTGAAAAAAAAATGTATATATTACTATTTAACAAAAAGCTTTCATATTCTAAGCTTGTTAAACATTTGAGCTAATTTGTGTTTTTATGTCAACACTGAGATAGGCACCATATAACAGATGATTAAGTTGAAGCAGAGAAGTTAAGAAACCTTTAGACTTTGTATTTGTCTAACAGTAGAAGTAGGGAAGCAATTTAAATAGTCCCAAAGAACTATATACTCTGGTTTCTCTTCAGATCGTATAAATCTTTTGCCTTTTACCAAAGAACTTGAATCAGATAGCTAACTGAGACCATAGTGAAGTATGGCATGA